TAAGTGAAATTCGGAATATCGAATAGTAGTTCCAAATAACTTTCAAGATCGATAATAATAACTGAAACAGTGGTGTAGATTCGGTCATGATTCTCTTAACTTAAAACTAAATTTAACATCAGTCTCTCCTTTTCATTTTGCATAGAGAATGACAAGGATGCACTGTTGTCAAATTTAAGTTTAAGTTTAGATAATCATGCCAGAATCGACACCATTGCCTACCTAGGTAGCTATAAAAAAACTCTGGACTTTTTGGCGGGCTCGGGAAGCGTCACTTTAGCAGTTTTGTTTTTCTTGTTAAAAATTGTGTTGTGGCCGATGTTAGTGTCTAATAATGGTGGATTATTAACCACCACAAGTGTTCGGGATCATGCACAAGTGTTGGCAAGTGAAACAAAACAGCGGAAAGTGTCTTTCGACGTTCCTCAAGAAGCCCACGGGGGGGGGGGGGAGGTTCCAGTAAATCCATACACTTTTACTGAAACATAGGGAAAGGGGGATTGACTTGACTGCCACTTACTTTGACTTGATTTATTACTTTGACCACGAGTGCTATAGTATTTGTAAACATTTTAATACTTGACATTGACTAATTGCACTAGCCGTGCGAAGACATTTAGGAAAAAAAAAACTCCAACGATATCTTGATATTAAATAAAAGGAAATGTTATGAACGAGAGCTAAACTACAACCCCCTCATAAATAAACGCGGAATAAACTTTTCCTAGTTACACCGTGTTTTGTTCCTATCACTCAAATGCCATTTTTCATTCAATGAACAGAGAAAAAACATGAAGTAACAAATCCGAGCTTATTCTTCATTTATTAATAAGGGGACAATAGTGTAAGTAAAGTCAACATTATGTCATAGCGATGCAAGGAAGGCTGCAAAATCCGTCACGTGAATTAAAATTGTTCTGAAAACAACATGTTTGTTTCCAATGATATGTACCTACATTTAAACGAAAGTCAACCTCAATGTTCTGCAATGGTTGTAAGAAAATAAGCATAGGGTGGGTCAGGAATTCAATGAGGGCTATCGCGTATGAATCCGCCGCTAGAGGCGCTAGTGTAGCGTGAGGTCTCCGAAATGTCAAATGTTATTGCTTGTTGGTTGACTACGCGGGTTTATTTCTAATTAAAACAATGTTGTGAATAATTGGTAACAATTCGGTTTAATTATGGCAAATATGAGTTATGTGGCATTGAATGTCAGTTATTAAAAATTTGAGCTTAGAAAAATGATTATGTTCCCATTTTTTCCGAATAAAACGGAACTGCGCGTCACTGTGGCATGGCCTATTATGTTTGGGATATGGTTCTTTTGTGTTAAAATACGATCTAAATGTAACCTTTGATTTCATGTGCGTATTAATAAACTTTAAAAGTTACAATTTAGGACCTCACTCAACAGTGGCGCCATCTGGTGAGGCAGAAAACGGTAGTCCTCATTGGCTGATGATATATACATGTGGCGTCTACTTCAAATCAAGGTCTCTGTACCCTTAATACGAGTTAAACAATTACGAAAACTATGATAGTTTTTTACTAAGGGTACTGAGTCCAGCGAAAACTCAACAAACATGTTGATTTAAGAGTCCTAAAATATTATCACTATATGAAACTTTAAAAAAAGCTTTTGTAATTTGGCATAGTCGATTCGGCAGTATTTGTCGAACAACAAAGCCGACCTGTAGTAATTACTACCGAACATTCATCTACAAATCTATACATATTCGATTTTACCGTCCGGTTGAGCTGATTAATGCCGGCCCGCTAAGTGTGTAGGTAGCTACCGCAAAAACCAATTTACCTATTTCACTGATCGCAACCGTAAACACCACGAAGCTGAAAAACATATGTTCAGGAGTGAATGACCTCGGGGTCTGCCGAATCTTAGGCCGACACGGCACTGCTGAGGCGGTTGCAACAAGATGTTGATGACTTGACAAATAAGTTTCCTTTTTAAAAACAAGCTTTTAGAGTATTATATTTTTTTACCATTTAACTGCTAGTAGATGTTTAATTTCTAAACAATATTTTACTAGAAAACTATACACCTGCTCCAAATTTCAGACGGTATTGGATCCCGCAAATTCCAATATGCACACAAAACAGTCTAGCATACTTTCGCAAAAACAAAATTGTAATTACGAACCTCGTACATAAAAATTACAGCGCTAAATCGGGCATAGATGAAAATTAAGATTTTTTATTGACAGATCTGAAATTTGTACTGGCAAGTCGATTGTTTTGTCAAACAAGTCCGACGATTGAATTTTAACAACATAATATGAATTTTGTGTTTACAAGTGGTTAAATAGAAATTAACCACCACTATAAGTTAATAATTCTACTTATATGTGAAATTTTACACCATCCTTTTGTAGTTTAATATTCCAGATATGTTTTACACCGAATTAGGTACATAACATATTGGCACCAGTCTAGTGAAATATTCAAAGCGCATCTAGTTTTCTTTTTGAGCTGGCCCAACAGCGGGGGAAAATTCACAGAGAAGAACGCTGTGAATGCCTAAAGCGGCCTGCTGACATTCCTGCCGCAGGGACAATCTAGGGTGTCAGAGTGAGAATGACCCTTAATTGCCTCCTAATTGTGATGTGTATAGGCAAGCAGGGGCATTTTTCTAAATCGGGCCTACGGCAGAGCGGCAGGAGCGCGAGACCACCCTTGGTCCCTAGATTGTCCCTGCCGCGTGTGTAGCGCGATTGGGGCAATTTCTCAATCAGTCGGTTGTTAGCTGTCACACGGAGCGCACGTATTTCGATCAAGATGGCGGCAGATCATAATGAGCATGAAGTTTGGACACGAGTGATCAAAGTATATAAAGACCGACCCCATGTGGGATAAAAAAAATGGGTGCGTGTACTTATGTAGGCGCGTCAGAAGTTGTCCTTCTTTGGCATCGTTTAAAATTAGTTTTTAATTGCATGCAAATAATTAATTACAATAAATTAATAAAAAGTCTGGAAAAGGACACAGTCAATAAAGTTCAGTTTTAATTTGAAAAAATAAATAAATAATCAAAATATTCAATTAAAATCGCTACTGAATATAATTTATTAGAACATATGTGATTTGCACTTGTATGAAACTCAAACACGTATTCCGAATATACAAACTAGAAACATGTGGATAAATATTGAAGTTATACTTCTTTAGGCGCGTTATGAAAAAATGATGAGAGTGAAATTTTAAGATGCGCGCGCATCACTGTAACACGTTACTTTTGTGTTTACCGTACATTAAGAAAATCTACCAACAAAATAAAAATAGAATCTCTATTTAGTGGGTGCTAACGACTGCATTGTGAAGGCCTATCAAAAGTATTTATTAATCTGGAACAACGGAACCAAAGCGCGATTCAGGAGACTACAGCGCCATCTCTTGACCATTGGTGTAGTAGAACCAAAAACCACATCTTTATTTTTTGTAATAAAGTAACAGTTATAGGTATTCATATTTATAATATTTATCCACATGTTTCTAGTTTGTATATTCGGAATACGTGTTTGAGTTTCATACAAGTGCAAATCACATATGTTCTAATAAATTATATTCAGTAGCTATTTTAATTGAATATTTTGATTATTTATTTATTTTTTCAAATTAAAACTGAACTTTATTGACTGTGTCCTTTTCCAGACTTTTTATTAATTTATTGTAATTAATTATTTGCATGCAATTAAAAACTAATTTTAAACGATGCCAAAGAAGGATAACTTCTCACGCGCCTACATAAGTACACGCACCCATTTTTATTATAAATATGAATACCTATAACTGTTACTTTATTACAAAAAATAAAGATGTGGTTTTTGGTTCTACTACACCAATGGTCAAGAGATGGCGCTGTAGTCTCCTAAATCGCGCTTTGGTTCCGTTGTTCCAGATTAATAAATACTTTTGATAGGCTTTCACAATGCAGTCGTTAGCACCCACTAAATAGAGATTCTATTTCTATTTTGTTGGTAGATTTTCTTAATGTGCGGTAAACACAAAAGTAACGCATGAAGTTGGTCGCTAAAGCGACCAACTTCATGCTGTTAAAATTTTGTGTTACAGTGATGCGCGCGCATCTTAAAATTTCACTCTCATCATTTTATCATAACGCTCCTAAAGAAGTATAACTTCAAAAAAACAAACATTATTTATATTTTTTTTAAATTTTTTTTTCAGTATGTAACTGCTCGATGTTTAAATCTAAAGAAAATAATTCTACAAAAATAGAAGTTTTTTCATTTTATTTTTTCTTATCATATTTTCTTTACATTCAAACATTGCGCAGTTACACGCTAATAAAATTATAACATTAATTACTTTTTCTTCTTTCAAATGTTTAATACTTGTAAAGGTATTAATTTGACATTGTGGGTTACTTATAATGTGAAGAGATGGCGCTGCCTTGCAGCTTAAGAAAGGCTACATAATTGATCAGTGCATTCGCCTGGATAGCGAAGGGTTCCAGTTCGAGTCCTGGCTGCTGCCAGGTCCGCGAGGAATTTTTTCTAGTAATATAAACATTACTTATTTACAATACATTTCTTTCTGTTGCCAATTCTTCACCCAGTATTTCCTTTTTTGGGGTAACACCATAGAAAAAGCCAAGGCCGGGCCTACAGATATATTTGGTCTGATTTTTGATACACTGGGACCATCATCAACGTGTGTGTTTAGCTCAACATACCCCTAAACACTGAATAGCAGGCATGTGTGTAAAGACAAGCAGATATTGCCCCGACCGCCGTGCACCCTAGATTGTATCTGCGGCAGGCATATCAGTAGGCCACTTAAATGCCCTCCTGGCCGCATCAGCCGCGTTTCTCTATGGACCACGCAGTAGGACCACGGGCAATAAACGGGTTATGAACCTCATTTACTTAACATAGACAAAGATGTCATGTCACATAGAAAGTGAAAAGAAAAATAAAAACTGGTCGACATTTACAATAAAAAATGTTTCAAAATTGACAGTTGTTGTTTGTCACGCGTAGTTTCGGTTTGTTGATGTTTTTACAATTTTTAAAAGTTAAAACTTTATATTAGATATCTGTAAAAAGTTGTGCCACATTTTTGTTGCCCGTGCTTTCCTACGTATATCAAGCAGCTTCATAATAATATCGGTAAGTGGTTCATTTATTTAAAGAAGTTTGTTAAAAAAGTGTGACGCACGGCAGAAGTGATAATTTAACCTTTCTAAAGTCATCTACGCACTTTCCATCTTACTGGATCCAGCATGCGGGACAACGCGCTATACACGTAAAAGAGTCTTCATGCTGTGTGTGGGGCGAAACGGGTACCGTGAGTAGGGTTGCCAGGCCATAAAATGCAAAGGCCGGACTGCGCACTATATAAGGCCTGACATTTTGCCCTAAAAGCTGGACATATTTTTTTTATTGCCAAACATAATGTTTTTACAGCTAGACCAGCTGATTGAAAAAAGTATTTATACGTGATGTAAAGTGAGAATGACACCGAAGATGGAGAGTGTGCCAGATATATGCATATTCGATATTTATAATAAAATAACTCGTTTACGAATTTGAAATGTTTATTAACAAAAAGACTGACAAAAGGCCTGACAAAAGCCGGACAGGCCAAACACGTACATATTTGACCGGACGCGACCGCAAAAAGCCAAATAAATCCGGCTAAAGCCGGACACCTGGCAAGCCTACCCGTGAGAGGTGCGGGCGGCAGGCACATTTTTGTCAAAATTACAAGCGCTGCACCTCCCATGGTCCCCCTTCTCGTCCTCTCCCACACCCTGTACCCCGCAGGCGAGGTCTCAGTTCAGCGGTTAACCTATAAATCGAATTTATTTGAAAATGAATTTCTGCATATTTTTTTATTGTGATTTTTTCGAAATTTTTAATAAGTAGTTATTTAGCTATTCGGACCGAACACAAATACATAAAACAGAGCTCTTTAAAATCGGGCCAGCCGTTCTTGAGTAATATTAATATTAATTTTTCTTAATTATTAATATTAAATGCAAATATTTTTTTAACTAAACCTAAGCCTTTAAAGATTCTGTTAATTGGCGGTGTTTTTAGGCTTAAAATGATATTATAATTAAGTAATAGTTTTAAATGTGAAAAATATTTCGCGAACCGTAATATGTAGTAAGACCGTGGTAAGCCCTAAATATAATATACTTTTTATTCCTATGCCTTAAAATTTCTTATTCGATTAATGTTATGACGAAGTGCGCGTCACTGAAATGACAATGATAAGTTCATTCAGTAATAAGTTCATTCAAATTTAGAACTATTTTATGAAAGTTCATGGATCAAAATTTACCTTTACTCTATCAAGTTTCTTCAATCGCATCACTCAGTCTTCTTACATCATAATATCTTTTTTGGGTACACAGGAAGGATCAATAGACAAACCTAATATTCTACGATGTTTTCGTATCAACAATTACGAGTCGAATCGTGGCATAGTTTCATAATACGAATCAGAATTTTACATTACAATAGTGTAAAGTCGCATCAAAGAAACGGTGTCGGTTGCAATCCGGAAACGGAAGGGCGGAAGCCGTGTGTCCTGCCAACATGGCGGTCGGCGTGCTTCCGGCCGGGTCAGTGTGTCGTCCGTAGACATAGAGAATGAAATGAGCGTTCATTGTCAAAAATTAAAAAGAAAACTGTGCAGATAAGTGTGAGAGAGATGAAACGATCGTGCGGGCATTAAGTAATTTTTTATCTATGAGCTGCGACATCGCTTTCACTCGTTCCAGAGAGATGTCGTGCGAGCTAATTCATAGAGTGTCGTTCAGTCCAAAGCCAAAGACTTAAGGTCTTAGCCTACTTACACGACACCTCTCTCACCCAGCAAAAGGAATATACCCAATTTAAAGATGGGCTTTTTTGCATTGGCAACATAAATTAGCAGAGTGCTTGCTGTCAGCGAGCCTATGCCACGTCAGACTACCCGGTAGTTGACGCCTCGCCTACTACGCGTTGCAAGCAAGTAGACTGCGCGGTGTTCTCGCGCTACAGTACTGATAAGTAGGCCATTCTCGCATTATCTAGCAAGAATTTACCGAGAGCTGGCTTTCGACGCGTAGACAGCTGGGTGCACGCTAGCTGTAGCCGAGTGGACTGCGAACAGTCCCCTTGGCTGTAGACATTTAGCCCTGTACAACTCTGCTCCTAACCAAGATGCCTTAAACTAAGCTATTAGCTGCCCACGCGCCTCTTATTAACAGAACTAATCACTAAATTATAACTTAAATTACATTCTCTTGTATTAATATTTTCAAAATGAATAAAAAAGAACTTATTTAATATTTTCAAAAAGGAATAAAGAAAGTGACACTTTTTTTTATAGAGGAAGGTATTACGATATCTAAACAACATTTTTATTAATAAATAACAAATACATAATTTCACGCAAACCAGTAAATACCTAATATAACCAAATTATAAGTTGAGCGACAGACCTGGGGGCCTGATATACATCAACCCCCAGCCGCGATGCTATCGCTGTTATCGCAACTAATTGGACTGAATTGCCTCCCCTATGTGTTTCATAGTTCAGACCACGTCTATTTGAATCAAAAATGATAGTGACTTTATTGCTTTATAGGTAGAAGCGATTTTGTGGTTAGCAAATGTTATTTTGCGAGTGTACTGAGGGCATACTTTTAGGGTTCCGTTCCTCAAATACAAAAAACGGAATCTTTATAACATCACTTTGTTGTCCGTCTGCCTGACTGTCAAGACCCTTTATCTCGGGAACGCGTGGAGGTAACAAGTTGAAATTCTAACTATTTGGGTATATTACTTTAAGTATGTAGTCCCGTGAAGCTGTGAAAAAAATCAAAACTTCAGAGTTAAAATGAAAATAGATTCAGCCGTTTATCTGTCTGTTGGTTAAGACCCTTTATCTCGGGAACGCATGGTGGTATCGCGTCGAAATTTAAAACGTATACTCAAGTCTTACGGTCCTTTGAAGCTATAAAAAACACATTTCTAAGATAACGTTAAAAAGAAGATACGGTCTTGTGTCTTTTGTACGGTCGGTTTATGTTGCGTACCTACAAATTCGTACGGAACCCTGGGTGGTGAGTCCGACTCGCACTTGCCCGGTTTTTTTAAAAACAGAAAAAAGAAGATGTATTTTAGGAGAGGTAGGTCATAGCAGATTTCCGCTCGAATTGGAGCGCCCGTCTGGGGAAGTAACTTCCACCTTAAAAAAGACCACAGTAAAATAACACAACTTTTTAATGGTGTTGTTTCAGTCTGTGAGTAAGACTCCAGGGCACCAAGGGTAGGAGATATTTGTATCGCTGGCTTCTATAGACTATGGTGGCCGAACCATCAGGCAGGCCTTAAGTTACTTTGCCACCCTTTAAAAAAAATATGGGTGCGTGTACTTAAGTACGCGCGTGAGAAGTTATACTTCTTTTTGGAATTATTAAAAAATAGTTTTTAATTGCATGCAGATAATTAATTACAATAAGATAATAAAAGAATTGTCAACGCAGTCAATAAAGTTCAGTTTTAATTTCAAAATTTAATAAATAATCAAAATATTCAATTTAAATCACTACTGAATTTAAGTTATTAGTCCATATGTAATTAGCACTTAAATATTATAAATATGAAAACAGTGATCAGAGGCGACGAGCGTGCCAACATTGTTTTTGACAACGCGATCATCTTATTGAGCTCCGTGGATCGTTCAAAGTACCTTTCGAACAGATGTGTAATAATGGTGGATTATTAACCACGTAGACACTAACATTCATAACGCGCCCGCGGCCAACTTAATGGTGTTACTATTGTGTTACAGTGATGCGCGCGCATCTCGAAATTTCACTCACATGATTTTTTCATAATGCGCCCGCGGCTAACTTCATTATGTTACTTTTGTGTTACAGTGATGCGCGCGCATCTTAAAATTTCACTCTCATAATTTTTTCATAATGCAGCTAAAGAAGTATAACTTCAATAAAAAAAAATGTATCGTGTCATGAATTTGTTCATGTCCGTTTTTTTCTACTGCATTAATACTATGAAAGTAAGAGTACAACGGAGGACGATAATAAAGGATGGCCGCTGATATTGTAGCGATATTTGACGCTACCTAGAGCTTAACAATTTTCTTCTAGAGGTTATTTTTAAAAATGTGTATGCTGTCGGTCGCAGTTCATCTTTACAGCGTCACCGGACAATGAGATCCTAAGGGAACCTCAAGCTGGGAATTGGCTATTGCCTCTAGTGGTATTCCAGGCGGATGGCATATATTCCAGGCGAGAGTCTCCTCTCCGTCTGGAGCCTCTTGATCACTCAAACATGACGGCGGTTTTCTATGGGTAATCGATGGCGCAGAATTTAGCCAGTTCAGCCTGCGATCATGGAAACTTTCCAATGGTCGGTCATTGGCTGGTTAGTGAGAATTTATGATTTGAGACGAGATCTTTGGTGCTTCGGAAGGTACGTCAAACTGTTGGACGCAACTGAGTGTTACCTCATGTCAAAAAATATGTCCACAGAACTTTATTGAGTTCTTCTTCTTATATTAAGAAGTGTGAAGTATTTGGTGGTGTGTTCTGTGTTAGTTTCGTCTTTAAAGTTTTGTCGTTTTGTGTATGGATGCAGGAGAGCACTTGTGCGTATACCACCCCTATCATCCCATATTATAATATCGCCATGACTACTCCCTTCCAGGCCACGTTCGCGTCGGTGTTGTTTTATGAGTTAGACTTATTATAATAGTAACATGTAGTTTTATCAATTTAATTTTGTTTTTCTTTCTCTTTTACTATAATGCTTTAATTTACTTTACCGCATAATGTCTCTGCTTAGCCCGATTGTTGACTGGTAGAGAATGCCATGTGGCATTAAGTCCGCCATTTGTTACAAAACAATAAAGGGTAAATAAATAAATAAACGTAATACACAGTATAAAATAAACGTTAAAATATTCTCATTGTTTTTTCAATTACCAGTTCACTGATCAATTTCTAATTAGAGTCGTCGAATATAGTTCACAGAATGCTGTTTCAGCTGAATGCTGCGATAAACCATTTGTGCCTTTACCGGGAAACGAACTGATAAGCTACCCCCGCGTTGCACATTCAGCAACATTGACTCTGTAGACTAAACAG